GTGAGTGTGATGTGAGAGTGAAAGCCATATTCGCGCCTAATCAAGCCTGCTCCTCTCGCTCTGTGGTTCTTCACGTTCCCCCCATCTCTCTCTCTCTCTCTCTCTTTCGCCCTCTCTCTCTAAGCCTATCCAACAGCCACAAGTAGTTTCCTACACTCATTCCTTCTGTTCAGAGTGTTGGCTGTTTTATGAATTTCTATCGCTTCCTGGTGTATTCCCCATATCCAGCTGAGAGTTTGGCATTAGACCAATCTATCTGGTGTCCTGTGCGAGGCATGTGTTCGGCCAATTCCGATTTTGGGATTCACAGACCTTTGTAGGCTGTTTCGTGTTTAGATGACCTCTTATGTATGGACCTACAGGTTTCCCCCACATAGGCACTACCATTTGAACATAATTTTTTGCAACAGCCTGATATGGAGAAAAGGTCAGAGTATTCTCGAAAAGAAGGCAATACCGAGGACAGTGTCATTTTCTCTTTATAAATGGTCCTGATGTCCCGCCTGCTCAGTAATACGCCTATCTTATTCCACAGATTACACGATAGCAGCATAGGGATCCTGTTAATTAATCTATCTTTTCATATAGCTCCAAATATGTATTTGATGATATTCTAAAATAGTTGTCAACCAGCCCTCCTGAATAATTATTCTCAACCAGAATTCGCCTTAGTCTTCTCAGTTCCTGGTCCCGATGTTTAACATCTGCCAGACGCAGGCCCCTTATTATCATGGACTTCATAAGTCCTACTTTACCCCCATAAGTCTGGTTGGAGAATAAATTCAAAAGGAAACCTGAATTTGTGGGTTTCCTATACACATCTCTATCTAATCTGGTCCCCTCTTTGCTAACTGGGACATCAAGAAAAGGTAAACCCCCATCTTTTTCTAACTCATGGTGAATTTCGTTTTCCCATAGATCCTGTACAGCATACCAAGAAAATTCTCCAGCTTTCTTTCCAATGCTGACAAACAGCTAAATGGTCGTCTATTTAGTGAACTAATAATTTATAAATATGAGATGTATTCACCATATTTCGTTTAAGGTAGTCGAATTTTCCATGGAATACGTCTCATATTACTGATTTACTGGTAATCTTGTAACACTACTCAAATACGAAAAATAAGTAACGTAGTCGATTGTTATAGCAAATATATGTTTGCTTCATCGACAATCCCACCAAAGAATATGATATGTCAAAAGGCCTGGTCTTCCTCTAAATTCACATCTGCCCTCTGACCCAAGGGCACTCGTGGCAATGTGGCCGAGTGGTTGACGTGTCAACCTCACATTCTGCACGGTCACGGTTCGACTCCCGCTGGGGGTGTTGATAAGACCGATGTGAGGTCGAAACTGCAGTCCGCTGGTGCCTGGATGAGAACAACTTTTGGGAAAGCAAGGCTATGTGAAATT